TGGTATTTTTTCCCAAGCGTCTTGTATGTCTGAGTAGCTTCTTTACGGTTACTACAATTCCAATGACCAAACATCTTCCTAACTTCTTCGAGGAAATCATATATTGGCAATTCCCTTGCTGAAACTAGTGCTTCATTGATTGACTCAGAGATATTTGACGTCATTGTCCATCCCCTGTTAACAGGTGCATACAACCTAGCCCACTTTTCGTAACCAGCTAACTCTAAGTATTCTTTTACCCTAATATCTACATTCTCAACCTTCTCCATCAGACTATCAAATTCAGTTTGTGTGTATGCTTTTGCCATCGAGAAGTATATCTCACTCAACTTGGCATGGCGTTTTTTGAATTTCTTGTATATGTTATTCCATAGATGCCATATGCAAGCACAATGTGGTACATCCGGATACACTCTCGATACAGATTAATGATGCTCTCATTTCTATCCGAAACAATGCACATGTTTTCCCTACACCATATGCTATCTTGAATTGCTCAAAGAACCACGTCCAAGCAGCATCGTTCTCTGAATCAATAACATCGTATGCTAGTGGCAATATATGACCTGTTTAATACAATTGAATATAATTGTTTTTAAATACATGTTTTCCAATGTTTTAAATATTAACAAATTGTATTATTATTGAGGTACTCACCTGCACCATCCAACGTTCTTACAGAAACGAATGTTCCGGTGTAGTAGGATTTTAGATGACTTTCGTCCACTACAACAATTGGTCTACAATGATCAAACCCCCTTATAAATGCATACAATGATATATACACGTACATGAATTCATTCTTTGACGATTTTTCCATTCTTATGTGAGAACCTGGATATGTCTTATCCATTGTATATAAGTATCCTGGTAATTTTTTGTATGAATCAGCCGGTTCACCTCTAAGAAAATTCATTGCCTTTTCTTTAGCCCTCCACGCCAACATGTAGCTAACATCAACACCTAGATCTGATTTCACATCATCAATAATGTCCCTCGGAGTGTATTTCCTCTTATGGTTTGTAAGCTTTGTCCTTATAATACCACTTATAAGGCATAAGGCTGCTACTAGCCTGCCGCTGCTCGTACACTTTATCCTTCAGCGGACATGTATGATTGTCATTGAATTCTCTCACCTTGAAAAATTCCGATTTGTTAATGCTTGAAGCCTTAAACCTCCAATCACAATTTTCTGAAATACATATTAATGCATAGCTGGAAAAAAAAGTTCATACATTAGACAACTTAACGAATCTGACATATATACTTCCTATTCATAAAGTACCAAATTGATATCTGTGTATATGTAATTTTGTCTACTAACGAATTTCAATATTGTTAGATGTTATTAAATACAATAAATACAACTAAATACATTCGTATGAATAATCAAACACTTAATAACATTATAGACATAATATGAAAATAATCATAGCCACTGTTGTATTTTTCAATAGTAAAATACACCTGAATACATATTATTAAGAATACTAAACAAATATAAATTTTCAAAGGTGTTCATCATCTGGAGGAAACACACAAATACAACTAAATACAACAAAGTTAAACAAACATCAAACCTGACAGCATTAGACCGATCAATACGGAATTGAAACCTTTGAGCTATAGCATAATTCTCCATCACATCTTTCAATGTAGCCTTATCCTTATAAACTTGTCCAGCCATAACCTCCTTTTGATTAGTTTTTGAAATTATCAAATCCTTGTGGAGTTCGAACACTCCAATCGCTTCTCCTGAATTGGCAAGTTCTATAGCTAGTGTATCATCTGTATCAGAATCGTACATTTGAACTGCTTCGTCTATCTGCACAATGTCGCCTTGATTTAAACCATCTCCGGAGATAAGCTCTTTTTCCAAAGTTGTAATGCACAGAGGATACATCCCAAATTCTCTGTTCTCTTTTTTCAATTCTACATACACTCTGTAACCCATATCATTGTGTATTTCCATTGGCGTGCGATTACCTTCAACATTGTATTGTATTTTAATGGTATTTGTGCTCAAATCTATACCCAGTTGATTAGAAATTGAACCAACTAGATCATTAAAGGAAGCGTACTCCTTAATCAGTATTCCCTTAATGGAAAAGTCGATATAATTTCCCTCATCGTTCCACTTTCCAGAATGACACAACAAAACTGTCAAGCTTGCCATATATATAGAAGAGTTATACCTTCTTTTGTATATAATTTATATCAATCGATAAGGAGGAGAAGAAAATCGCACAATATAGAAGCATGTTGCTCTGTTTCTTCGCTTCTTTCATGTTTCTGTATTTCTGAGTTTGAGAAGAATATAGATTGATGGGATAACTTTTAAGTTTGTTGTGTAAAATTAGGGAAATCAGAATTGATTTGATTTCCTTCCGTTTTTAACATCTTCGTCGACCCAGATATTGTGCAGATACGTTACGTATTTAGCGCTACATACGTTTGAATACAAGTAAATACATATCAGGATTAGCTGGATTTCCTTTTTGTACGCCGCTAATTTTTGTTGTATTATTAAATACACTACCTTAAATACATTAAATACACTATAGAATTGCATAAAAGATATCTATAGGACGTAATATAGCAAAGGGTTTTTATTAATGGCTAATTAGGACTAAAAGATGGTGCTTTGTGAAAAATTCTCTTAAAATTTCTTGTAAAGAAAACAATATTACCATGTAATGAAAAATCACTATTAGAAAGAAACAACTTAGTCAGTAGGAGAATATTAATTTTTATATGACCAAATGTTGTAAGAATTGGAGATTGGGATATGCTGATGTAGGATTTGCATGTTTATATCTCAAAGATGGAGTTCTCAAAAGTGCAATAAATATGACGTAGGTATTTTGATGGCCGCAAGCAAACAATCAATATTTTAGAAATCAAAGGCAATAATATAGCATTCAATATCAATGAATAACAATAAATGACATTTAAGTAAATAAAATGAATGAGTCACCCAAGAAGTGATGGACAATCCTTTGAATATCTGAGTTATTCTCGGATCTAGTGAAAAAGTGTAAACAAGAATCTTAGTGAAAATGTGATGTTTGTATGCTTACAATGAAATCTGATTCTCTCTCTAAAGTCAAAGTGTATTTCTACAAATGAATATCACATGTTCTCTATCATTGCGTCTCTTTTAGGGGTGGGCATAATACCGATCGAACCGAAAAACCGGCCGAACCGTGAATTTCGATTTTTCGGTTTCGGTTTAATCGGTTTTTCGGTCGGTGCACGGTTTTAAAATTATTAATTTTCGGTTTTTTGGTGCGGTTTACGGTTTTAGTATTGCGGTTTTCGGTTAAACCGAAAAATCGAACTTTTGGGTATTAGTTCAAAACTTAATTAATAGTCTTATCACTTATGTTCTTAGGCTGAAGCCGCTGAACGCTGAAGCCCAAAGCCCAAATACCTTTGAATCCCACCCCACCCAAGTGACTCACTTACGTTATTTCCCATCAATAATTAGACTTAGGGTTTTGCGAGTCTTGCGAGTTGGGACTGCTGGCTTCTTCCTCAGCTCTGTGCCACACTGCGAGTCTGCGATTGCGGCTGCTTCCTTCTTCCTCAGCTCCACTGTGACGCCTTCTTCCTTAGGTTAGTGCGACTTCTTGTAGATAGGTTACGGTTTCTAATTAGAACTAACTTCATAAAAGAAACTAGCTAGCTATTTCCAGAAAANGTTTAATGTCCTATCTGTTGCTTGCCTTTAAAGATGAAATATGGCATAAATCCATGCATTTTATACAATTTTGTAATATGTCTAAGGTTGTTCTATTTGTATAATTTGACTGAATTACTCTATTGTTCTATTTGTTATAAACTTATAGCAGTTCCGACCTTAATTCTGTTTACATTCGATTTTCTATAGATGGAGAAGTTGAAAGTAGAGTAAGTGAGGTGGGTTCATCTGAAAGTGAACCTACTTCTTCACCTACAATTTCAGTTGAAACTAGTCAAGACCCCAAAAAAAATCTGTACAATCTAGATCAATTGCTTGGGATCATTTTGAAAAGTTTAAAGACGCTTATGGATGTGTTAGAGCAAAGTGTAAATATTGTGGTCGTGATTATAAGGCTAATTCACGATTGAATGGAACAACATCATTGAATACTCATTTAAAGAAGTGTCCAAAATACCACGAAAAGTTGATAATACTCAAACATAATTGTGTTTACAAAAGGATGGGCAAATTAATGGTGGGGTGCTTTGGAAATTTGATCAAGAACTAGTTAGGAGGGCTTTAGTTGAGATGGTAATTATGGAGGAATTACCTTTTAGCTTTGTTGAAAAGAAAGGCTTTAAGAAGTTTATGAGCATAGCCCAACCTCTATTTAATGTTCCTTCTCGTAGGACAATTACAAGGGATTGTTTTCAAGTTTACAATGAAGAGAGGTTTAAACTAATGAAAAATTCCAGAGATGTAAAACCAAAAATTTGCCTTACCACAAACACATGGATTTCGTTACAAAGAATTAACTATATGTGTTTGACGGGTCATTTTATTGATAGAGATTGGGTGTTGCATAAAAGAATACTAAATTTTTGCCCTATCTCTAGTCATAAGGGTGACGAAATGGCAAAAGTTATTGCTAATTGTTTGCTTGAATGGAAATTGGATAAGGTATTCACTGTTACTGTTGATAATGCTTCTTCAAATGATGTCACGGTCAAAGAATTGTCTAAACAATTAGATATGTGGAAAACTAATTCGATGGGTGGTAAGCATCTTCATGTGAGATGCATGGCTCACATACTTAATCTAATTGTGAAAGATGGTTTGAAGGAAATTTATGTTTCTGTAAAACGTGTTAGACAAGCTGTGAGGTATGTGAGATCATCTCCACAAAGGACCTTAAAGTTTAGGGAATGTTGTGCACATCAAGAGGTAGAATGTAGCAAAACATTGTGTTTGGATGTTCCTACTAGGTGGAATTCCATCTACTTGATGTTGGAAACGGCGCAAAACTTTGAAAAGGCCTTTGACAAACTTCATCTTTTTGATGATAGATTTTCAACTCATCTTTGTACACATGTTTGTGAGGATGGGCATGTTGTAGGTCCATTTGTATGTGATAATTCGGTGAATGTAAGAAATGTGATAAAGTTTCTTGAAAGATTTCACGAGCTCACCGAAAAAGTTTCAGGCTCACGTTATGTCACTTCTAATTGTCATTTTGAGGATATATGTGAGCTTGATAGTCATTTGAAAACTTGTTTAGCTAGTGATGATACTAATTTGAGAAAGATGGCAGAGAAGATGAAAGAAAAGTTTAAAAAATATTGGGGTGAACCTTAAAAGATGAATAAAATGATTTCCATTGCTTCTGTATTAGACCCTCATAACAAATTTGAGTATGTTGGTTTTGCACTTGAGGAAATGTTTGGGAAGGAACCAGGGAAGAAATTAATTATCGAAGTGGATGCTAATTTGAATTCTTTGTTTGGGGAGTCTAAAAAAAATATTCCAATGTTGTCTTCAATCATCTCCATCTAAATCTACTTCATCTGATGGCACATCTGATTCATCTAGTGTGAATGTGAGAACAAAATCTGTGAGAACAAAGCAATTGTTGAAAAGGCAAAAGGAAGACTCTGGAAGTGTAGGTGCTAAATCTGAGTTGGAAAGATATATTGGTGAAGGACAAGAGCCATTGTCTGATGATTCTGATGACTTTAAAATCTTAGATTGGCGGAAAATTAATGCGCCTCGATTTCCTGTTCTATCTGAGCTAGCTCGTGATGTATTAGCCATTCCAATTTCAAGTGTTGCATCGAAATGTGCATTTAGCACCGGTGGCCGCATTCTTGATTCATTTAGGAGTTCATTGACTCCTCGGTTGGTGCAAAGTCTTGTTTGTGTTCAAGATTGATTTAGATGTGATGATACTCCTATTAATATTGAAGAAGATTTGGAGTTTCTTGAGCAAATTGAACTTGGTAAGATTTTCCGTTTTATGAGTGTTTTAGTAAAAATTAGTTTACTTTGTAAGTTTATATGACACACGTTATCAAATTATATTTAGATATGGCAACGAACGGAAGAGAAACTTGCACTATTGAAAGAGATACTAGCATTGTTGATGTATAGTTTGAACAAGTGGTAAGTTTAAGAATTTGCTTGTTTTATGGTATTCTTTTGTTATTTATAATTAAAAATATTTTATTAACTTGTGATCTTTTTTTTGTAGGTTCAACTATGCCTCGTGGTCCTAAAGCTAGATCGCCTATTTGGGAACATTTTGAGCTAGTTGAAGCAAATGAAGAAGTCCGCAAAGCAAAGTGTCTTCATTGTGGTCGAGTTTATAATTGTCATCCAAAGTATGTTGGCACCATGTGCTTAGTGAAGCATATTAAGAAGTGTCTCAATCCTCATCCAGTGATTCCGTATGTTAGACTTTAAGTATCATTTTCTAGACTTATTTTGTGGCTTATGGGTTGTGACTAGTTTGCCATTGTTTTATTGTTTAGTGATGGTATTTTTAGACTTATTTTGGACTTTGGTACTGCTAGATTTGCCATATGTTAAACTGTTTTTGGACAAGTTTGCCACTGCTGAGCAGTTTATTATCTGTTTTTGCCACTGCCCCAGCACAATGCAATATGCATTGCTCCTTTCGTTTTCTCATTCTGGTATGCCAAAGGGAACTGTAGTTTTCTCATTCTGGTATGCCAAAGGGAACAGGAACCTTCATGTCTATATCTTTCTGTTGTATGCCAAATATTTTGGTATTTGAAAAGTTACTGGTGTTCCATACTACATTGTGCCTAAACGCTATAATTGGTAAGGGGGAATGAATTGCCACAATACACATTATTTATAGGAGTCTTTAGACATTATATTGTACATAATTATATAAGGACAGACTTTGTTGATCCTACGAGTCTACAACCGTTTGAAACTGAAAATATAAACCGGAAATAACCGAACCGAACTTTGAAAAAATCGCACCGAACCGTAAATACTTTGGTTTGATTTGGTTATTAATATTACAAAACCGAAAACCGATTAACCGAATCGTATTTTTATAATAACCGACCGAACCGACCGATGTCCACCCCTAGTCTCTTTTTCTTTGATAGGGAACATGTTCGTAGAAACTCTAATAGTACAAGTTTATAAAATATCCACTGGAGTATTCTCCTTTAAGTCCTATCTTAAAACTAGTAGTTATTACTCTGTCAAAGGCGCTCGACCTCGGGTTTGATGACATCTCCTCGAATTCAGTCTTGCTACCTCTTCAACCACAACCTTTGCTGATAATTAGATTACTTCGACACGTGGTGCATCAAGAATGTTTCACCGATACCATTTCAACTTAAGATGGATTTTGACCCATATAGTTAGTCCATCCGCTTATCGAGGTCGTTCCCACAGACAAGGTCGGTGAGCGGACAATGTTGTACATAATGCATTTCTACAGAGTTGGTTGAGGTCGTGGTCATGTAGACAAAGCTACGTGACCTTCTCAAGTTTGCATATTTTGAATTTTTTGGAATTAATAGGGAAGTCTATTGGATCCATCTGGTCCAAGAGAGAAAGTGATGTCATGACATCATGCGTCTATTCAGGTGTGACTGTTGATTGGCTCTGTCGTTTCAATTTCCGCGCTAATCATGACCCACTATTTTGATTCTGGTGCCTCTCAAACCTTATAATTAGGAGAAGGTTTATCGATTTTGGAACTTTTTCCAAACTCTTTCTTCTCTTTACGCATCAGCTTCCCCTTCACCTTCTTTGTAGAATCCTCTCTACCCTCTGTTTCAGCGACTTACCTTATTCCCCATTCCCTCTTGTTTGTTATTCTTTTTCATTACATTGAATCACGTCTAACGTACCTTCTGAGAATGGCAAGGGGAGTCGTGTTTCTCCCTTGGCAGTGGTGTTCCCTTCTCATGGGGAGAGTGTTTCCACCACCATTAAGGATGAAACTTTCCCATCGGTGGAGAAAATAGTCCCACGTAACCCTGATTCCAGATCCGATTTTATTAAAACTCCTGAGGTCGTACTTGGAGATTTTTTATCAATGATGACAGTAAAGGAATTAGTAGATCTCAAGGCCAAATCTAGACTTTCTGATCATATCGAGTTGATTCCCACTGAAGGGGATCCGGTATAGGTCCACCATCACGGGTATTGTGCCCTCTACACCTATCATTTCCAAGTAGGCTATTCCTTTTCTCTCCTACCACTGGTCGAGGAGTTCTGTTGTTACTACTTCATTTTCCTAGCTCAGCTTGTGTCGTACGTCTATAAACTTATAAAAATGCTTACCAAGTTTGCTGAGCTAGCCGGGGTCGAATTGACACTTATGCACTTAATACGCCTATTCGCCCCTAGCTTTTATAAGGGAACAATGTTGAATCTTCGCCACCTAGGGGGCAAGTGTTTAGTGGTGAAGTGGATGACAAGGCCATCTGTCAATTCTGGTTTAACTTTTTTTTTTGGTCAGAACTAAGGACGTGGTGGCCAATGTCGACAATTTTCCCGAGGCTTAGAACTATGCTCGTATGTACCTGATTTCTCTGCTCCTAGGTACCGGATTTCTCCCCTGTGTTCGGCCATGGGTTTTAACCTCTTGCATTTTCCCTTTGTAGCCAAGACCTCACCTCCTCCTTTGGTCACTCATATTTCTGATTGGGTCGAGAGGCTCCTCCCTCAAATCGTGGGGATTCGTGAATGGCCAAGTTTTTTCAAGAAGTTCGGGCCCGCTCTTCCTTCGACTAGTAATTTCCTTTTTATCACCAATGTCTTAAATCTCTCTCTTTTTTTGTTTACCTTTGTTGATTTTCCCCTTTTTCCTATTTTTTTAGCTTCGTCCAGGGGGTCTACAAGGAGGTCAAGATCTATTGCGCCCTCCTTCCGGAAGAGGAAAGCTACTGCATCCTCGATTTATGTCCTAGCTTTGACTACGGCTAGTCCTATCTTTGTTCCAGTCCCTCCTGTTGTTGCTTCCGAATTTGTCCTTACTTTGGCTGTTAAGACTTTGGGCGTGGAAACTTCGGCTTCTCCCTTATATTCTTTCATCGACAAGGACAAAGAACCTTTTCCCAGTGATGGAGATCTAATGCCTCGTAAGAGGAGCGCCGTGGACGTCGCGAGGGAGAGGCCGACGGCCGTCGATGTACGAGATTGTGGCATTGTCCTTCGGGAAACAGCCACAGTGCATATTCGGGATAGCCCAAAGGCAAGTCCCGAGGCCCCTTGTTTGGAGGATACAAATATGCGTCCTGTAGAGGATGTGGTCGAAGGCGTGGTGAGCAATGACAGCCCTATATGCGAAGAGGCCTCATTTTCTGGGATTGTGGTAGACGTGCCTTCTTCGACCGATGATAGAGGGAAGGTTGTCGATGAGGAGGATGTTGGATCCGATTGTGACATAGATGTAGACGAGTTGAGGATGATCAACGGGGGTCTTACTCAACTCGAAGTTAGGTTGTAAGGAGGTTCAAGGACTATTACGATCTCGATGGATCGTAATCTACTTGTGGACACCAAGAAGATTATCCCCTCCCCTGTCCCTTTTTGTTCTGAGATTGAGGGTATGACCCTTAAGACTATAAATTATAGCGCCCTGTCAAATAATATTGATGGTCTCGCCCTTCAGGTAAGTACGCTTGTTGTTAGTTATTTTCCTTAGGTTTTGTTCTTTCGCAATCTCTAACTTCCTTCATTCGGTTTGTAGACGGTCGTATTGGAGATTGAAAGTCCTCGTTAAGAGTATAGACGTAAAGATATCTATGTGAAGTTGAAGAACAAGTACTTAAGATGCCTCGAGAAGTACTGAGAGCTTCGGTGTCATGAAGGCAGTGATGTGCTCCAATTGTAGAAGGACTTGAAGGTAAAAGATGAGTAGCTGGTGCGGGTAGTGGGGAAGTACAACGTCTTAGAGAGTACGTTGAGGAGCAAAGAGGAAGAAATTGAGCTTAACAAGGAGTCAAATCCCAGTGTAGTGATCTCTAAGATCAGGTAGTCTTGTTGTGTGGCCAGCTTGAAGAATGTCAGTTTAGGGTGGAGGCTCTTAGTGGCGAGGTCGCTGAGAAGCAAGAGGAGCTGGAGAAGGCGAAGTTTGCACGATCAGAGGCTTTCAGGAAGGCGAAGTCCCTTGAGGTGGTGATCTGAACTCTATGTTCCGAGCGAGAAAATGATTTAATGACGACAAGGCTCAAAGAAAAGTGGCTCGATGAAAGGATTGGGGAGTTGGAGAGAGAGACTTTTGATCTTTATGGTCGAGTTGTTGTTCTGGAGGCCGAGAAGGCCTAACTACTGACACAAACGTCCTTTTCCCACACTTCAAATTTTTCCAATGCTCCTCGGGATTTATATGAGGAACGGATTCATGCCGAGGCCTAGTTAGATATTTTTCAAGATTTACATACAGCGGGATCTGTTTCTGAGGCTGCCTTCGAAGATGTTTGTATTAAGGCTCGTGCAGTTCGAGTTGTTTGTGGGTATGATCCCGTTACGCTTGAGTCCGATAAGCAAGGGGGGATAAGGGTGTATACTAGCTTGAGGAGGACGTCTGGTACAATACCGCTTATCCTGAGGTTGAAGGTGGCGATAGCGAGTGGGATCAACATGGCGAGGATATTGGTGGTCAGGGTGGTGAAGCCATTAAGGACCAAGTTGGCGAGGGCATTGAAGGTCGTGATAGCAGCGACCAGTAGTTTTATTTTGACTTTTTGTGTATTTTTGCCGGCGTCTTCATGAGCCTTTGTAAACAATTTAAGCATGAAATATCAAAGATGTTCCTTGCATCTTTTTCCCTTCCGATGGTTTATTTTCTTTATTTGTATGTTTTTTGCTTCTATTGTTTGCTCGTTTAGCTTTTTTCCTTCTTATTGTCATTGTCTTTTAGTTAGTCGTGGCCTT